GCAGTCTCTACGTGCAGGAGATGGAGAAGCCCATCGCATTCGGCAGCGCCCCCAGCAACAAGCCGCGGTGCGACGTCGAAGCGGGCGGGGTTGACATCGGGAAGAACGTCGTCGACGGCGGATGCCCGTCGCCCCGCGATGCCGCTTCGACCTTGGAGCAACGCGGTGGCGCCCAGCAGCGGGGGGCCCCGCGCGCGCTCATCCTGGCGCGTCTGAACCCAGAACGGACCGGGTCTCGGGCGCCAGGGCCAGGCCCCGTCAAGGAGAACGGGTGGAAGAAGTTTGTGCGGAAGCACCTGCGGCGCCGCAGCGCCATCCTCCGCGCTAACGGCGCCCGCGCGTACAAGCTCAAGGTTCCCGGATGATTCATGACCACGTGGTTCACGTGAAGAAGAAGCTGAAGGACAGGAGCGGGGGGGGGAGCCAAGCGCAACGGTAACTTCGCGTGGATCCTCCCGCAGCGCGCCAAGGAGTTCAAGCACAACATTCCAGGAACGAAGAGGACGTTGAAGTGCATGGGGGGGCCGCAGGTGGTCGACCGCTTCTGGCAGCTCTTGCGCAACTGCCTCAAATGCATGTCTGGGGCAGTCGGCGGCGCGTCCTTGCGCCACCGCGCGCGGTCTGCTCAATGGGCCCGCTGGCATCGGGCAGACGATGCCTGGTCCAAGACGGGGGAGATGCCGAAACACCTGAACAAATGAGGGCGCCCTTCGGGAGTGCATCGGTTCCGCCCGCGGGCGGGCGGCGATCCAGGCTGCTGGCGCCATCGCGGGGCGCTGGCGTCTGTGCTGTTAACTGAGGGGGGCCGCTGTTGCGAGCCATTTGCCTGCGCCGACCCAGGCTTCGGCGATGCCAGGTTTGCACCAAGGGGGAGTGCGATCGTTTCGGAAGTTTCGAAAACACGAGCGTGATCGCCCTCCGTCGCCGCCCTTCGCGACGCCAGCTGCGGCGTCGCAGCGGTCAGCAAGGGGTGCGTTCCTGAGGGAGGCTGTCCACATCAGGCGAGTCACTCAAACATGTTGCAATATTGAGGTTGGTCCTGGTAAGGGGGCTATATATATACACGTACAAACATACATACATATACATAGATGTGTATTTATTTATATTTATATATATATATATACATACGTACGTATATCTATCTGCACGACATGTGGGTGTCCTTATTGGGCCTAGGGGCCGTCAGAAAGCCAATCAGGATAAAAAAACAATCCCCGGGGAATGTGTCGATACCTCTGGGGCAAACATATGCGAAAACTAAAAAATACGCCAGGGGTCTGGGTCAGAAGGAGAAAGCACAAGATGAACCTAAGCTTTCGGAGCTCCGGCCGTGTTTGTTGGATCGGCGCCAGACATCCCTCCCTGGCGCGAGGGACGGCGATGGAGGCGCCGCCAGGGGAGCTCAGCTACGATCCAAGAAACCCGCGGGGAATTTCACTAATCCCACCAGCCCTTTGGGCGTGAGTGGTTTAGAGAGCCCGCTCTGTTCTCAACCCCCCTTCTTCCCCTTCGGGGAGGGGTTTACCCCTCCCCCTACCCCCTCCCCCTGGGCCTGGAGAGGTCCCTCCGCGGGTCGCCGGAGGGGTCTTTTTCGACTCCTCGGAGGGCTAAAAAACGACACCCCTCACGAGGATTCTGGCCCCGACGGGGGGAGGGAGAAAAGTGCTCCCCTCTTCTTTGAAGCCAAAATCATTGATTTTACTACGGTTTTGGCCCCATTTTGGCCTTCTGAAGGGGGCAGCGCTAATTAAAGCTCCCCTCTTCTTTCAAGCCAAAATCATTGATTTTACTAAGGTTTTGGCCCAATTTTGGCCTTCTGAGGGGGCAGCGCTAATTAAAGCTCCCCTCTTCTTTGATCGATTTCCTCCAAGATGGCCCCAAGAAGCGCCCAGGAGGCACCAAGAGGCCCCAAGATGGCCCCAAGAGGCCCCCAGGAGGCCCCCAAGAGGATCCCAAACGGCCCAAAGAGGCCCCCCCGAGGCACCCAAGACGCCGAAAAGCCCATCAGGACGACCCTCTACTCGCCTGGGCGTCGTTTCTGGACGGGCAGGAGGAGGGGCCCGAACGACTCACACCAGGACGAGGGGCCCGAACAACTCACACCACGAGAAGCCCGAACGACTCACACCAGGACGAAGAGCCCGAACGACTCACACCACGAAGAGCCCGAACGACTCACACCAGGAAGAAGGGCCCGAACGACTCACACCAGGACGAGAAGCCCGAACGACTCAAACCACGAGGAGCGCTTTCTCTCCCTCCTCCTCCGCCTCGTCCTTCTCCCGCTCCCACAACAAGGAGGATGTACAAGGAGGCGGGAGGAAGGAGGAACAGGGGAGATATGCGGGGGCAGGCGGAAACACACCTGAAAAACACCACTGTCGGCATGCTTCGCTAGAGATGCTGTTTTGAGATGGGCTGGTGGGGATACGCGAAGCGTGAAGAATTTATGTTATTGCACATATTCCTTCTTCGAAGGACAGGTTGTATTGGAAACTTCCAGGGGGACGAGGAGGAGCAAGCGGTCACAACCGCTCACGGCCCACCTCTCCAGGCGGTGAGCTCGGCGACGAAGGGAGCCAACGGACGCCCCACAGGGCCCCCAAGGCAAGGGGGGGAGAGCGGGGAGATGCGCAGTGGAGCAGGAGGGAGGGAGGGATGAGCGGAGACTAAAAAGAGGAGGGAGGAGAAACGACTGATGGGGGGAGAACCTACACCTCCAATGCATCGAAGGAAAGAGGAATTCATGTGTTTCAGGAATCTTGGTATCGGGGTGCGGGAGCAGCCAACAGAAACGGTTCGGGACGAAAAGCTGGACCCCGTGAAGGGATCGCGACTTTCGGGGACCCCATACGCTGTTTCGAGCGATCCCCACCGAAACCTTCGGCGCTTGTGCCCGACAGCGCGCGCGCGCCTGCTGGTCTCGGCCAGGGCGGCGGCTGGGCCAGGTCGCAACCAGCTGTTGTCCAACAGAGCAACAGCTCGGGTTGTCGTGGGAGGGAATGCCCGGACGAAAGAAACCAAAACGATGTCAGGGGCGAACAACAAAACCCAAAACGCGTGGTGTGAGCGAGAACATCAAACTTGCTTGGATAAATAGCATACGAAAAGATGAGGACCAATAATACGAGGAGTAAGAAGAAGAGGCTATATACTGTGCTTCAGAATTCCGCCCCAATGTGTACGTGGCTCTATGTTCCAAGGTATCCTGCTTTGGACGGGCCAGCGTTGTGTCCGCATACCTGACATTGAGGATACGTCGCCCAATCGGTCGTTGCTGGGCCTGTTTGTTCGTCTGGCCGTCCTGACCTCGGCCCTCATCCTCATCCTCATCCTCATCCTCATCCTCATCATCAGCATTATCGACATCATCATGTTAACATCATCATGGTTGTCATCCTCATCATCACCACCACCATCGGCATCATCATTACCACTATCATCATCATCATCATCATCATCATCATCATCATCATCATCATCATCATCATCGTCATCATCGTCATCCTCATCAGCATCAGTATCATCATCATCACCACCATCATCACCATCATCACCATCATCACCTCATCACCATCCTCCTCCTCCTCCTCCTCCTCATCGTCATCATCATCGTCATCATCATCAGCACCATCCTCATCCTCCTTCTCCTCCTCCTCCTCCTCCTCCTCCTCCTCCTCCTCATCGTCATCATCGTCGTCATCAGCACCATCTTTATCGTGTCAGCATCTCTTGGATGCCTGTGGGCACCTCGCGGGAGGCCCTTTCGGAGCCTCTCGGGGGCGCTTCTTCGGGGCGCCCCTCGGGGGCCCGGCGCTGGCCTCTCGGGGTGCCTCACGGTGGGCCTCCAAGGTGGGCCTCCAAGGTGGGCCTCCCGGGGGGCCCGCCTGCTGGCGGTGTCGGGCGGCATCCTGGGGCGCAGGGCTCGAACTGTCAGCTCGAGTGCCCTCCCTTAGGAGGCAACTACTGGGAGGCTTTCGTCGGAAAGATTCAGGAGGAGTAAGCCCCATTTGGGAGCTGTTACGCCGGAAAGGGGCCTCGGATTACGAGGGATTTAGCCGGATTAAGCGGGACTCACGGGATTAGACGGATTGCTCGGGATTAAGCCGGATCATGCCGGATTTCGGACCAGGGCCAAATCAGAATTTGACCTCCCAGGAGTTGCATCCGACCCCCCCCTGTCGTGGAGTGGAGAGAGGCGGAGAGGGGGCGGGAGGAGAAACGGGGAGAGCAGGGGGAGGCACAGACGAGCGACGGGAGGAGGGAGAAGGGCGACAGGCGAGAGGAGACGGGAGATCCATGAATGTCCCCGGCTGGGCCCAGAAGCGCCAAGCTGCAGTGCGAGTGCGCCAAGGTTCATGACATTTCACTTAGCGAATATGTGGCCCATGGCAATTTCGGAGAATGCATCACGTTTTCTACTGCACAGAGCCGAGGTGGCATGCCAAAAGACGACCATTGTAACAAACCATGATCCCCAAATGACGCAACCCGCTTTCCACAGAACCTACCCAAAGTTCCACATGCTGCATGCACTCGCAATGTGGAAAACCATGCCGCTTCAGATCCCTGGAAATACGAGCGCGGACGCATGGAATGAGTTAGCCGTGCGACGCGAAAATGTGAGAGCCCCACTGCGTGACCCCTTCCATTCATGACAGTACACCCGCTTTGCACTGCCCTGCTATGCCCAGTGAACTGCCGAACTCGCGACGACTGCGCCATCAGCGAACACACCCTTCCGGCGTGGTGCTACCCGAATTTGCCAACGACACCTCGGGCTTACAGCAAGGCGAACCCAGAGCCTGTCAGGACGACCCCGACCCAAAGTACATGACATGCACACCTGGATAAACCAGCGACTGGCTGAAAACACACGTCACCGTCAGGTTGTCGCGGGTTGGCTGGCACACCGTGGAAGCAAGCGACCTCGTAGGAGCGGCATTCGTAAAGAAACGACGGTAGTAGGGCCAGGCAGCACTGACACCACTGTGAAGGAACGCGTGAACAAGGAAATGGAGAAGTGTAGGGTGATCAGAGACATGCTAGCAACGCGTCGCATGCACTCTGCGGCGAATCCACGCCCTGCGGCCTCTCCGCAACGAGCGAGAAGACCGGTGACCAAGGAGTACTCTGAGAGACGAGCGTGAGATATTAATTAAATTGTCACGCGCAGCGCCAACTCAGTCTGAACCTAAAAGCAGGGCAATGGCATCATCCTGACGTAGGGGGAGGATATCATTCGAGGCTCCGAGGACAATTAGGTGACGCTGGCGATAATTGCGAGATGCAAACTGCAATCCACGCCTCACTAGCACTATTTTGCATCACGCGCCCCCCTACCCACCCCTCCCCGTCTAACCCCGTCTTGTCCGATCCTTATCCTTCTCTTCCTCCCCTTCCTCTTCCTCCTCATCATCATCATCAGCATCATCAGCATCATCATCCTCATCCTCATCCTCATCCTCATCCTCATCCGCATCCTCATCATCATCAGCATCATCATCATCATCATCATCATCATCATCAAGATCATGATCATCATCATCATCATCATCAGCAGCAGCAGCATCATCAAGGTCACCACCACCATCATCAGAAGCACCATCATCGTCATCAGCGTCATCATCCGCATCATCATCATCATCATCATCATCATCATCATCATCATCATCATCATCATCATCATCATTATCATCATCACCAGCATCAGCATCAGCATCAGCATCAGCATCAGCATCAGCATCAGCATCAGCATCAGCATCAGCATCAGCATCAGCATCATCATCATCATCATCATCATCATCATCATCATCATCATCATCATCATCATCATCATCATCCCCCCACGCTGCCACTCCCATATCTCATGATCCTGGCGCGCCCCCCTTTCCGTTCCGCCCTCTTCCCCCTTTCCCGTTCTCCTCGCATCTTCCCTCTGCCCCTTGTTCCGTCTCGCCTTCCCGCCCCTTTCCCCCGCAATCCCCAGACGACCGGGAGGAACGGGGGGGGCAGCGGGCCCCCTGTATCGATGACCAGACGTGCCAGTGTTAGGTCGGGCATGTCCCCCTACAGGCGGATTTCGGGCGACAGATAAAACATACCCCCTCCCAAAAAGGCAAAAATGGTCAAACAATAATGGAACAATCGTCTCCGTATTACTTTTTTGACTATCTTTGATATTCCCCCCTGTAGAGGGACAGGCCCGACTGAATGCCAGTGAAACTATGCACGGACCGAGGGCGCCACAGGCTGGAGAGCTTGGCGGCCACCAAGCGCATGGGGGGCAGCTCAGCAGCTCTCGCTCGGACAGTGCCGAAGCAAAGCCGCCAGAGCATGCCCTGAGGTTCATTCATAGGGAAACGAACAAAGACATAAACATAAAAACTCGGAGGTCCGCGCGGATTTCTCGGATCGGCGCTGGGGCCCCCTGGCTGCGCCTCCGGAGCCGCCCCTGGCGCGCTCCGCGCGCCAGGGAGGGGGGTCCAGCGCAGATCCAAGAAATCCGCTCGGACCTCAGAGTTTTTATGTTTATGCCATTTTTCGTTCCCCTAGTTCAAGCCTCACCATCGAAAAGGCTGAACGCGTAGACAAGCAAGCCTCTCACTACGCTTCACTTCTGCGGCCATCCACATGCCCCGCGAACCAGTCCGGACCGAAACCACCGCGCGGCGTTCGGGCTTCGCTTGGTCACCAACCTTGAGATTTGACAGGTCTGCACTCTCCCAAGAGGAGTGCGCCTCTTCACACCACCCAGAGCTTGCCAATGATCGGGCCGCCCTCGGGCTTCAGGAGCCTCCCAGCGACCGTGGCCTCCTGGGGCCTCCAGGGGCCTCCTGGAGCCCCCGGGGCCTCCTGGAGAGGAGTCGTGCTCCAGGAGACGCCCAATTCATAGGAACAGACGTAAGGCACTTCGGATTGGAGCCACAGCAGAGGGGCAATCTACAGGAAGACGCGTAAAGCACCAACGACTCGTGCCCCAAGGCAGGCCCAATCGATAGGAACATGCGTAAAACACTTAGGAGTGGATACGCAGGACAAGGATACTCTATCGGAACATGCGCAAAACGCTTGGGATTGGAGCCGCTCCTGTGGCCTTCTGAAGCCTCCTGCTCCTGGGGGGGCTCCTGGAACCTTCCGGGGCCTCCTGTTGCCTCCTGTCGCTTCCTGTGGCCTACCGTGACCTCCTGTGGCCTCCTGGTGCCTCCTTGTGCTTCCTGGGGCCTCCTGGGGCCTCCTGGTGCCTCCTGTGGCCTCCTGGGGCCTCCTGTGGTTTCCTGTGGCCTCCTGATGTCTCCCGGGACCTCTGCGCCCTCCTGGGCCCTCCTGGAGCCTGCTCGGGCCTCCTGTGGCAGCCTGATGGGGATCCGTGCCCACGAGTCTGGCCAGCAAAACAAGCAGACCGCTCGAGACGTCCTCGCCATCCGGGCCCCCCTGGGGTGCGGAAGCCAGCGTCGCGCACGAGACATCCTCCAACTCTGCTCCGAGAGCGGAGGAGGTTGAGCTGGTTGACAGACAAACCGCTCGAGACGTCCCCGCCATGTTGGCGCGAACGGAAGCCGTGCAGTACCCCCTGGCGGCTCCACCTTGATGGTGCTGAAGTCCGCGCCTCGCTGGAGACATCCTCAGAATCTGCTCTGAACGCAGATGAGCCTGGCCCCCAAACAAGCAAACTGCTCGAGGCATCCTCGCCATCTGGGCCCCCAGGGGTGCGAAAACCAGCGCCTCGCACGAGACATCATTTTGCATCCGCATCATTCATCATCTGCATCATCATCGTCATCATCAAACTCTTATCGTCACTTGGGGGAGGAGGAGGAGGAGGAGGAGGAGGAGGAGGAGGAGGAGGAGGAGGAGGAGGAGGAGGAGGAGGAGATGGAGGAGGAGGAGGAGGAGGAGGAGGAGGAGGAGGAGGAGGAGAAGGGAGGAGGGTGTGTGAGAGAGGTCCGGACACAATAATTATTCACTGCGTGGAGCTCCCCATATATGCATCTATTAGGATTGACCTGTCCTCCGTGAATGTCTAGGTGCAAGAGTTTTTGAATATTCACGGCCATAAATATTGACGATCTGGGAGGGAATCTAACTGCGAATGAGTTTGAGTGTGACTGAATTTCATTGGTACGAGCGCGTCTCTGCGCATGGCCCTGTGGGCTTCTGGGGCCTCCTGAAACCTCCTGGGGCTTCCTGGGGCCTCCTGGAGCCTCTTTGGGCCTCCTGTCGCATGCTGGGGCTTCCTGTGGCCTCCTGAGGCCTCCTGGGGCCTCGTGTTGCCTCCTGGAGTCTCCTGGAGCCTCCTTCCTGGAGCCTCCTCGGGCCTCCTGGGGAGGATTCGTGCCCCAGGGAAGTCCAATCCGTAGGAACAGACGGACACAAAACACGACGGGTTGGAGACGCAGGAGAAGGGCAATCCATAGGAACACGCGTAAAACACCAAAGACTCGTGCCCCAGGGCAGGCCCAATCGATAGAAACATACGTAAAACACTAAGAATTCGTGCTCCAGGGGAGGCACAACCTATAGGAGCATTCGTACAACACATGGGATTGGAGCCACTCCTGTGGCCTTCTGAGGCATCCTGCTCCTGGGGGCTCATGGGGCCTCCTGATGCCTTCTGGGGCCTCCTGGTGCATCCTGGTGCATCCTGGCGCCTCCTGTGGCCTCCTGTGGCCTCCTGTGGCATCCTGGAACATCCTGCAACCTCCTGGAACCTCCCGACCCTCTTGGGGCCTCCTGGAGCCTCCCGTGGCTCCATGAACCATCCAAATATCTCATTGTACGTCCTGTGGCCTCCTGGATCTTCCTGGAGCCTGCTCGAATCTCCTGTGGCCTCTTGTGGCAGCCTGTGGGTCCGTGCCCACGAGTCTAGCCAGCAAAACAAGCAAACCACTCGAGACATCCTCAGAATCTCCTGTGGCCTCCCCTTGGGGGCGAACATGAGCGCCTCGCACGAGACGTCCTCCAAATCTGCTCCGAAAGCGGAGGATGTCGAGCTGATAAAAAGGCAAGCCGCTAAAGCCATCCCCGACATGTTGGCGCGAACGGAGGAATGCAACACCCCGTCGCGGCTCCCCCTTGGGGGTGCTGAAACCCTCGTCTTGCTGGAGACATCCTCAGAATTAGCCCCGCCATCATCATCATCATCATCATCATCATCATCATCATCATCATCATCATCATCATCATCATCAGCATCAGCATCAGCATCATCATCATCATCATCATCATCATCATGATCATGATCATGATCATGATCATGATCATGACCATGATCAACATCATAATCATCATCATCACCATCAGCAGCAGCATCATCACCATCATCTGCCCCACCATCCACCAGCACCATAAACATCATTATCATCATACTCTGACTGGGAACGGGGAAAAAAGGAGGAGGGGAGGAGGTGTGAAAAAAGGAGTCGGTGCGGTCAGAGTAAGAATGAACAACCATCCTTTGGATATGGGGAAAACAAAAAACCCATCCTTTGGATATGGGGAACAAGCGGGTCACCCAAACACTTGGTTGAGAGAAACCGGCTGTTTCACTCGCGTTCTGGGTTTCAACATGGGCAGGTGCACGCGGATCCCAAAAGCTGGCGTACCGCGCGCACCACGAGAATAACCAGCGGATGGGACACCCAAAAACCTGTTGAACAAACAATTGGCGCTTCGCGTGCATTCTGGTCCCCAACATGACGCGGAACATGATTAGCCCACACGCAAATTTTGTGTACGGCGCGCTTCGCCGGCGACCCACCAGCAGAGGGTCTCCAGAAAACCTTTTTTTGAAATACCCATATTTCCACATGCGCTATGGGCCTCAACATGAATTGGTACATGCATACTCCATACATGCACTTCCCTTTTGTAACGCGAAACGCAAAGATGACACACCAAACGGTGTGTCACGCGACAAGTGGCAGAGGAAAACCAGCGAAGCGAAGGACCCGGCCGCATGCACTTGTGAACGCCGCAGTTGTGAATATCATCTCCGCCCGCGCTCCCGGTGGGGCAACGAACCGTGCGAGGGGCGCGCCGACATGCGTGGCGGGGCACACAACGCGAGCGAAGACGATAGGTCTGTGTGTGAGAGACTGAGAGCGAGTGAGTCTGATTGTGGATGAGTCTGCGCGCGCGTGGGTCTACGTGCGCAAATGTCGACGCCCATGTCGGCACGCCTCGCACGAGGATCGCGCCCGCTTCCTTCCCGTTCTCCTTCTCCTTCTTGGCCCGTGCACGCCCACGTCCAAGGCTGCGGGCGCGGCGCCGCACGGAGTCCCAGCGACGCGCGCTGTTCGCCCCGAAGGGTCCCGGCGACGCGCGCGGGACGTCCACTGCGCGGAGCAAAGAGAGCGAGTAGGCTGGCTCCCGCCCAGGATACGCGGCCCGAGAGCGGCCTCAAAACACGTCGAATACAATAAAACCTCCGAAAATCGAAAGTCGCCGCCATGCGAACTCCGCTGCTGGGCCGCCATGCGGATTCTGCAACCGAAACCTTAGGTGGAGTTCCCTGTGGGGACACGAAGCGCTGTACTGGGTCGTGGGTGACGCAAGCGGGTGGTCCCACTGGGGCCTTCGGAGAAGGCCCCTTTGGGGCCACGAAGCGCTGCACTGGGTGGTGGATGACGCACGCGGGCGGTCCTACTTGGGCCTTCGGTGGAACCCCCAATGTGGCCACGAAGCGCTGTACTGGGTGGTGGATGGCGCATGCGGGCGGTCCCCCTGGGGCCTTCGGTTGAGTTCCTTATGGGGCCACGAAACGCTGTGCTGGGTGGTGGATGACGCACGCGGGCGGTCCCACTGGAGCCTTCGGTTGAGCTCTGTATGGGGTCACGAAACGTTGTACTGGGTGGTGGATGACACATGCGGGCGGTCCCAGTGGGACCTTCTTTTTTAGGTGTGGCCAAGCTCGCGCGGCGTGAGCTCAGGTTCAAGCAGCTGCCAAGGGGGCAGCTGTCAGGTGGCAGGCGAAAGCCTCGGGAAGCCGAGCAGCAAAGGAGCGAGCTAGCGAAAAGGGCCAGCCCACCGCTGCCGAGCCAGACCCGTTAGCCTGCCTTCGCCATCGGGCGCGCCAGCTTCGGCGGTAGCACTTGCCTGATATTCGCGACCTTCTCGAGGCGGTGCTGCAGGCCTCGAGCGGTCTCGGGCAGCTTGCACTCGGCGGACAAGCCCCTGTGCTTGCCGCCTATCACATGGGCATAGCAGTGGCAGCGCGTGCACACTCGATACCCATTTACAGTGCACAGCTCGTGCTCGCCGCCGTCAACCCCTGGAACCCCTGTGTCTGCAGACGCAGAGGCCGAGGCTGCGAGGGGCCCAGAGGGTCCAGGCGGGCCAGCAGAAGCCCAAATCTGCCCACTGCCGATCCGTTTGCCGCCCTCTGGCGCGTCGGACGGCGCGGGGTCGGCCACAGAGGCAAGCGAGGCCGCCCCCGAGCTGCCACCAGCGCCTCCAGTGAGCTCAGTCAGGCCGCTGCCGTGCCGCGCGCTGACCGCGGGCTCGACAGATGGCGCGGGGGCGGCCTCAAAAACAGGCGAAGCGGCAACCGATGGGCAAGCGGCATCGCCAACGGTGGGTGCCCCGTCAGCTCGGTCGGCCTCACGCGCGGCCCCGCTCGCACAGGAGCCAGACGCTGCAGC